AGGAGGCAAAGAACCCAGGGTTCTCGGAGCCGACTCCTGGGTGCCTGAAAGGTGGTGAGGCAATCCTCGTCCTGTTCCAGGCTTATCTTCAGAAAGCAGAGTCCTCTCAGGCTCCCCTCCAGTGTGAACACAAGGGGGGCCGCGCTCAAGGAGAGCGAGCAGCCGGGACAGTCCTCGGGCTTCCGCGAGAAAACCTGCGAGGTGAGGCTACCGGGCGCTCTCCGCTCTGGGCCCTCGAATCCCGCCCGAGCGCCTCACCTGTCCCTCCCCGAGAAAGTCCAGTTTTTCATAACGTTTTGCTCGTGACTTCACGTCCACAGCCATCCGGCGCACGAAGCCCGAGTCCAGCTGAAAGGAGTGAGCCTTCCAGACAGCAGGAATTTAAAGCTGTGGTAAAGCCTCCAACAGCCACTTCCGTTCACTGGGCGCCGACGCTTTGTTAGCTCCGCCCCCACTTCCGGCATGGGCGGGGTGATGTTAAATAAGTTCGGTCGGCGCCCGCCCCACGGTAGCTGCGACAGGCAGGGTTGGTTGGCAGTCTGCGCACGCCCCGCCCTATCACGTGATCTAGCTTTGGCACCCGGAAGCAGAGTGTGTTTGCTGGAGTCTGTGTCACCCAGTTACCTGTTAATTTCTTCAGTACCGGGGACTGGCCAGCCTTCCGATACGATATTCTGAATTAGATATTTAATAGGCGTGTATGAATATGGAGGGCTTGGACTTGTCCATGATACAGTTTCCTGGTGCTTGCTAAGGCGCGTCTTGTTTCCATGGTTACTGTGGACCCCTTGCCTTGCAACGTCAGGTTACTTAAGCGTGCTCAAAGCTTTTAAAGGTCTGCTGATGAGATTTTCAGCCCAATTCCTTTATTAAGAAGTATTTCCAGGGAAACAAAATCCTAGTCAACTGAAGAATTATGTGCTGGTCATCAGTTTTTTCTACTCTTTATGAACGGAAATAATAGCCTACATCATAAGTGGTTGTGGTGATTAAAGACTGATGCAGCAAGTTTAGACACAGTATGTGCTCAATTAAGTGCTGTGATCAGTATCTAACTTCTTGAGTCTTTATAAAATTTTATACAAATCAACAAATTAAGAGCATGATTCAACAAATATACACTAAGTGCTTACTATGTGCCAGTCTCTTGTAGACTAATAAGCAGAAGAAAAAGACAAAGATCCTTGCCTTCCAATGGAAGGTGACAGTAATTGCAGAGCCTGCTTTATGGCAAACAGACTTCATCTTGTCTCTAAACTGCCATGTTGAGACTTCTAGGTGAAAATTAAACAGACTGATTAAGCAATTCCATGACTACAACAAACAGGAGACATCTCCTGTTTAGTCCAGCAAAACCCCCTTTTGTCTGAAGACTGTCTATGCACCAATCATTGACAAGTGAACTCAAGAGCCAATCTAGAAAGTTTCACAACAAATGACCTAACCTCAGACCACTTCCCTGCTTGATCTTTTAAAATTCCCGTACCCTGACCCTGATAGTACACACTTTGGATTTGCCCCTTGGTCATGCATCTGTATTGTTTTCTAATCTCAAATAAAGGTCTTCCTGATTGTATAACCTGGTTGCTTCTCTCCTGTTGACACAAGTAAATTATGTTTTGATACACAGTGATAAGTGCTAGAGATAATAGTGTCTGCAGTTTTAAATAGGGTGGTACAGGAAAGCCATCGCTGAAAAGCCACTGCAGTTCTGGACAAGTTGTATGATCTGATGTAATATTTTTATAAGGTTCATTGCTGTAATGAGAAACAAATAGACTTAAAGGGGCAAGAAAAAGCTAGATTGCTAGTCAAAAAATTATTGTAGTGAACTGGGGGTTTCCGGTTCCACGGCCCTCTTTCTCTTCAACGAGGCGGCCGAGCGGCAGTCGCAGAAATGCAGATCTTTGTGAAGACCCTGACAGGCAAGACCATCACCCTCAAGGTAGAGCCTAGTGACACCATTGAAAATGTCAAAGCCAAAATCCAAGACAAGGTGGGCATTCCACCTGACCAGCAGCATCTGATTTTTGCTGGCAAACAGCTGGAAGATGGTCACACTCTCTCAGACTACACTATTCAGAGTCTACCCTGCACCTGGTATTGCGCCTTTGGGGTGGCATCATTGAACCTTCCCTCCGCCAGCTGGCCCAGAAATATAACTGTGACAAGATGATCTGCCGCAAGTGTTATGCTCGCCTGCACCCCCGCGCTGTCAACTGCCGCAAGAAGTGTGGCCATACCAACAACCTGCACCCCAAGAAGAAGGTCAAATAAGACCCTTCCTTCCTTTGCCTGCAGACAACCTCCTGCCCAAGCCCCATGACTCTGGGCCCTCAATAAAGTTTCCCTTTCACTGACTGAAGCAGTTAAAAAAAAAAAATTATTGTAGTAAATAATATGGCTGTTTTTAGTGACAGCAATTTGGCCTCCAGCCAATAGGATTTGCTAACATGCTACATATGGGTTGTAGAGGTGTGGGAAGGAAAATTCCAAGTTTTTAAGCTTAATCATTTGGTATTTCTAAAAGTTGAAAATCCTGATTTTCAAATGAATGTTTAAGAAGGCAGCAGAATACCAAGGATCATAATTAAAGTATTACAGTGAATAGTTTGGATCTAGATTACCTGCATTTAAATACTGGCCCTACTAGTATTCAGTCCCTAGATATATGATCTGGGCAAATTATTTAACCTGTTTTTAGATTTCTCCTGTGCATAGGACCAACAAATATATTTGCTGCATGACTTAAATGACTTCACACTTCTGATAATACTGTTTATATTAGCCATTACAAAACTAATATTGGTGGCCATCCATATCTTTGTCACTACTTGGATCTTTATCGTTTTATTTTGTTGGTAGGCAAAATTTTCACATGTTGCAGAAACAGTCTTTATCACCTATCTCTCTTAAAAGTGGTATCACATGACTTAGGTCACAGCTCTTTTTGAAAGACATCTCTGTAACAGTAACCTAAATACCATTCAGCATCTGTGTAGCATTTTACAGTTTACAAAGCACTTCACAAATCAGAAGTAGTCAGTTTCCAAGATGGCCCCAAGGGGCCTTCACTTTTTGGTATTAAAGCATTTGTATAATCTCCTCCAACGAAATAGAGTTCTGTATGGTCAGCAGAATATACAGAATGAGTGTAATTTGTGAGGCTACATCTTAAAAAGCCTTGATGCTTCTAACATTGCACACTTGGAGCATCTGCTTTAGGGAAAGTCAGTCATCATGTCTGAGGTCTCCTGTGAACTGCCAGCATCAACTTTCAGCCTTGTGAGTGAGACATCTTGGATGCAAGTGAATTATCCAGCTCCATTTCAGGTCTTCAGATAACTTCAGCCCCAGGTAGCATCTGATTGCAATCTCATGAGTCATACTGAGATAAATGCCAGCCAAACTGAATTCCTTACTCAGAGAAACCACAGTTATTATGTGATTATTGTTGTTTTTTAACCATTATATTCTGTGGCGATTTGTTACAAAAGGCAATACACTAATATGATCCTGCCTGTCACACTGTATAACACTAGAAAGGAAAATAAAACTTGAACAAAGTAAGCAATTTCATAATAGTTACATATACTTAAGTGCCTAACCCCAAGCAAAATGCAGGCTATTTACTCTAAGCCTAATCAGGATTCTTTCTATGACAACACCCTTCTTGGGAGCCCATCAGAAAACAGCAATTCCCAATTTTTGCCATACCAATACTCAAAAATTCTGTAAAAGTGTTATTTTTTTCCCCATTGTGACTTTCATAGCAACAGATCTAGTAAAGAAACCCTCCAGAACTGGGGTTTTGTACTATTGTACTATTCAAGTACTATTCAAGCTACTCTTCATTACCTAATTCCACTATTTCTGAGAGAAAAAGAATTGCCCTAGGCTACCTTTTACTGAAATGAGAAAACTAAGGATTAAAAAAAAAGAACAGTGCTAGTTTTAAAGAAAATTTTTCAAATAAAATTTTAAAATAATAAAATATCATGAATCATGTAATTTTCATGAGTCATCAGAATAGTTTATTGTTAGCACCAAACCTCTATCTCATATTTGAATTGGGCAACATTTATACCAGGCCATATCACAGAATTTACAAAAGCAGCAGATCCACTCTTCTTCTGAAGAGAGAACTAATTAGCCCATTACTATGGGTTAAGGTGAATATGAACCCATAGGGAACCAGAAAATATAAAAACATACTCAACAATTCTACCCTGTCTAGTGCTCATGAGCTACTCTTACAGTTAGGGGTGACTTTTTAAAAGCATATTCTAGAAACCATTAAACATAGGGAAGAGAATTTATTAGCTTCATAAGACTTTACTTTCACAGTAATAATGCTCTTGGCACAGGAAAACCCTATTAAAGTTTCATAAATTGCCTTAATAAGGTAAAAATGTAGACTGATTTAATGCAAGTTTCAGACATTGAAAGTTTGAGAAAATTAGGGATTATCAGGATTTGCATACAACATAATCAAAATGGTAAACTAAACCAAAGAATTAGACTTAACACGTCTCAAAATATAATTAAGTTGTAATTTCTAGTCAAACATTTATTCCTATGCTATATTCTTTTGACCTCTTATTTTCTGACATTCATTTCTAAACACAGGTTACAAATAATCTTATTTGTTAACTCTCCAGTCTTAATATCACAAAGTCACCTGTTTTTACCTTGGCTATATTTTTATCATTTACATAAAATATACTTATTAAGCCATAAAGTTTGAGAAACTTTGTGAATGAAAATATAGTAAGAGAATTAAGAACATATAATGGAGTCATTATTTCACTGATCCTCCTCTTTAGGAAAATCTCTTCCCAAAAGCAGCAATTCTGCCTAATAAATTTTTTTATGTCTACACAGAAACTGAAAGAAAAGTGAAATTCTGGGAAACCTATGTAGGTTTACTAGACATTTGTGTGCTTTTCATAGTTCAACACTGGTAATACTTGATAATCAAGAGTAAATTAATAGGCTAACATTTAAAAATGTATACTTTAATAAGTAGATAATATATAAACAATAGGTAAGCTTATGGAGAAGCTGACCAGGTACATAAATTAGGAGATACAAGTGTCCATCTAAATTTTCTATATTTCTTTTCTTTTCTTTTTTACAGAATATTTATTAAAGTTGTTTAATATACAATTTCTCATTTGTCATTTTGGAAGTCCTTTATTGTAAAGACTATTCATTTGCCTGATGACAAACTGCAGCCCCACTGTAAGTGATTATTCTGGACCTCCACGCTGAAAAGGAAAAAATAAAACAATAAGTTTGAGTGATAAAAATATATAAGAAATGTTTTCATGGCACTATATGCATTTACACCATTTTAAGCAAGTGACCTTTATTTTTCAAAAACAATTTTGAGTTTTTACCACTTTTGGATACTCATATCTATGTTATAAACATCATTTATGATATGGAAAGTAAGACTGACCTACCTCAGTGATCCAAAAATTTCTTGGTTTCAGAAACCCTTCACACTCTGAAATTTATTGAGGACCCTAGAGCTTTTTCTCATGTGGTTTTATCTATTGTTATTTAACATATTATAATTCTACATATATATATTCTTCATGCACATTTTTTGAGGGCTCCGACAAGTTTATTACTGGCCCAAAAGACTATCTATCTCTTACTTTTGAACAAACCTTGACAAGACAGTTGGTAGAGAATATAAATCAACATGTAAAATTCCAAAACCCAAAAATGTTAAGGTGTTTTAGACAATTTTGTGATAAAACACAATAGCATACCTGGATAAATTCCATTTCTTCCTGAGATACAAGTTTCCTTCTATATTTCTGAGGTAATGTTTTTATTATTTCTGCAGTGTCTGGTGGGCCCTGATACATCAGCCAATCTGGTGATTTACTTCCTTTAGAATGTTGTGAAATTGAAGAAGAGTGAGACGGTAGTCCTGCTGATCCCAAAGCTTCTGATACTGGGGAAAAAAAAAAGTTATTAGAGCAATTGTTGAAGTATCTTAACATACTATTTTATCTATTATTGAAATAATCAAGTAATTCTTAAAATGAGAAGTATTACCATTTTAAGAGGTATGTATTACAGAATGACTTAGTTGGGTAACTATATATATTTTCAAAAAGTTCTTTTTAAAACAAATGAAGTGGGCCGGGCCTCCCTGGTGGGGCGCAAGGGGTTAGACACAACTTATGAAGCTATCCGCACCCAATGCAGCACAAGTTCAATCCCCAACCAGGGAGATACCCCCATGGTGCAACAGACCTCTCCTGACTCACCCGCTGCTCCCCTCAGCAGTGTATTTCAATCAATCTGCCTGTTCTGTTCCCCACTCTGTCTCTGGTGAAGTCTCTCACCCCCCACACCTCTGGCATGTACCCCAGTTCTTCTATGCATAAATAAATAAATCTTTAAAAAAATAAAACAAATAAAGTAATTTTGAGTGAATTATTAAATTGAACAAGTTTGTAAAATAATTAAACTTCTAAATAGTGGAGTTTGACCTCTATAGATAACCTATGCAAGTTTTGTCAGATGGTGGAGTTTAGATATAATATTTTACAAAATGGAAAATATGAGAGTTGGTAAATGTAGATTTCAGTTTTCTCAATATCTTTATAATTTTATCTTAATTCTGTAAGAGTTATTATAATAAGTTTGTTGAAATTTTCCTTGAATAAAAGATTAAGGATATATGTAATAATAAAGACAGGGACAAACGGTCTGATAAAAATGGAAGATAATTGCTAAGTACTAAGGCAATCTAAGAAATATTTACTGACTGAGTGAATAAACGAGTGAATGAAAGAAAAGGTTAGCTGGGAGAGAAATATAGGAATGGCTACTATTTTCATAATGTTTGCAAATGTGTATGAAAAATTCTTCTAAGGACAGAAGAAAGAAGTAGAACAAAAATTCTCCTATACAAACTCAGTGTCATTAAAAATTTCAGAGACATCTACTGTTGAGTGACTACCTTTTAAACTGGAGGTAATAAAAAGTTAATTTCTACTTGCATGCAACCTAAGGCACTACTTTGATCGCAGCTACATTAGTCTACCTTATTTAGAGTGAGAAATACTGTACATAGTACTCATATAAATGCACATATACATTTTTGAAAATTCTAAATATAGTACAACTTACCATTGGGTTTCGGATTGTCTCTTCTATCTGGGAATCTTATTAGTGGAGTATGTGGCTTGACTACCTAAAGTAAATAAAATGCATGAAAAAAAGACAGTGCACTAAAATAATGTTAACTTTTTGAAACAATCTACTAAACCTCATAAACAGATACCTTAGTAAAAATAAAATATTTCAGGGCCTCCCCGGTGGCGCAGCGGTTGAGCGCTGGGTTGCGAAGCTGCCCACAGCCTCTGCAGCGCCAGTTCAATCCCCGGCTGCTCCCCGGCCACTGTAGGAGGGTCCCACATGGCGCGCAGACCTCTCCTGCCGCCCGCTGCTCCCCTCAGCAGTGTGCTTCGGTCCTTCTGCCTGCTCTGCTCCCCGCTCTGGCTCTGGTGAATTCTCTCACCCTCCCGCACTTCTGACTGTACCCAGTGCTTGTATAAATAAATAAAAATAAATCTTTAAAAAAAAAAAAATAATAAAATAAAATATTTCACTCTAACTTTTTATTGTATTATTTCATTCTTCCTCAACAGGAAAGCTGGTTGAGGAATCATTAACTTGTTTAGCTTATCTGCTATTCATAACTTTGAACTTTATACATCACAAGACATTTACTATCAACTGACCTTAAAACAACCTTTTGAAGATGATGGCATGGATTTTATATTGCATTACTTATATATAGCTGTACTGACCTGTAAGAATTGGAAGTTTCCAATTCCAGTAAGTTTCCTGACTTAAGTGTTATTTCCCTATTACCTCAATACCGAGCAACTGAGTAGGCTTACAAAAGCTTCCAAAAATTAGATATTTTAAAAAAATACATTTTCTGA